AGAAGTTAAATGTAACAGAAACCCCACAAAAACAGGAGGACCACATTACTAAAGTAGCCTACCAACAGAAAAGAATCTGAATACCCCTCAGGAGAGGTATATTCAGTTAGTTATATGCTACTAAGAAGTAAAAGAATTTAGATGCTTACAATCAAAAAGGGGCTAAGGATATGCAAAATATGGCTGAGAAAAAACCCACAGAATGGAAAAAGTATTTGTAAACTATGTATCTGATAAAAGACTAGCATGTAGAATTTTTAAAAAACCCTCTTATAACATGGGAAAAAATACTTGTAAATCACACATGTGATAAGGGACTAGCATCCAGGATAAAGAACTCTTATGGCTCAATAAAAAAAAAAAATCCTAATTTAAAAATGGGAAAAGGAGTTGAATACACATTTCTCCAAATAAGATACACAAATGGCCAACAAGCATATGAAAAAAAATGCTTAATATCAGGAGTCATTAGGGGGCTGGGTGCTGGTGATTCACACCTGTAGTCCTACCTACTCAGGAAACAGAGATCAGGAGGATGGCAATTCAAAGCCAGCCTGGGCAAACAGTTCTCGAACCCCCATTTTGAAAATACCCAACACAAAAAAGGGCTGGCAGAGTGGAGTGTCTGCCCAGCAAGTGGAGGCTCTGAATCCAAACCCTAGTACTACCAAAAAAAAGTCCTTAGGGAATGCAAAACAAAACTACAATGAGATTTCACCCACTAGGATGGCTATAATAATACAATATAAAATAACAAATGTTTACAAAAATGTGGAGATACTGGAATCCTGTACACTGCTGGTGGTATTGTAAAATGGTAAAGCCACTGTGGACAACATTTGGAAAATTTTTAAAATGCTTAATATAGAGCCAGGTGTTGGTGGTACACACCTGTAATCCCAGCACTTAGGAGGCTGAGGTAGGAGAATCACAAGCTTGAGGCCATCCTGGGCTACAAAGTGTTCCAGGATACACTACATAGTGAGACCTTGTCTCAAATAACAAAACAAAATAAAACAAGCAAAAAGTTCAACACCGAATTGTCATATGACCCAGCAATTCCACTCCTAAGTGTCTATTCAAAAAACTGAAAATAGATATCCATAAACATGAACATTCATAGCAACTCTGTTCACAATATTCAAAATGTGCCAATGACCTAAAATATTTGCCAATGGATGAATGGATAAACAAAATGTGGTATATTTATACAACAAAATAGTATTCAGTTATAAAGAGAAATGAAGTACTAATGTAATGCTACACCATAGATGAAAGGTGAAAGAAGTCAGATACAAAAGATATTGTAAACTGGGTACTGGTGGCTCACACCTGTAATCCTAGCTACTCAGGAGTCAGAGATTATAAGACTGTGATTTGAAGTCAGCCTGGGCAAACAATTCACAAGAGCCTATCTTGAAAATAACTCAGTAAAAAAAGGGGCTGGCTCAAGTGGTAGAAGAGCACCTGCCTAGCAAGCGTGAGGCTCTGAGTTCAAGCTCCAGTACCACTAAAAAAGGAAAAAAAAAAAGGCATTATATAATTCAATTTATATAAAATATTTAGCAAAGGTAAATCCAAATAGAGAAAGCAAATTAGCAATTGCCATAGGACAGAGGGAGGAGTAACGGAGAGTGAACCCTTAGTGGGTATTGGGTCTTCTTCAGGAGCAAATGAAACTGTTTTGGAACTACAAAGAGATGACGGTTGCACATTGTGAATGCACTCCATGCCACTGGACTGAACACTTTAAAGCTGTTAATTTCATCTCAATTAAGAAAATAAGTCTGCTGCATCCTCTCCCCTGACAGCTCTATTCTTTGCTACTTTTCTATCTCAATAAACTCTCCCACTTTACTCACAAAAATAAAAAGAGAGAGAGAGAAAGGCACCGAGGGGGTAGAGGGAAGAGAAGGGAAGGAAGAAAAAGTAAAGAAAAGAAGGCTGAATAATCCATAAGAGAAATAAAATTAAAAATTAAGGAAGTTCAATGGTGAGAGACAGGATTTTGTGGAGCATGGAGGTGAGGAGGAAAGGAATATATGTTGGGAGGGGAGAAGTTGATGAATGACATGATTAAAACGATAGATAAAAATTTAGAAGTTCCATACATTATTTATGGATACATACCTACAATGAAAAGCATAAAAAAATGGACAGAAAGGATTCATACACCTTGATGATCATTACACTTGCGAGGTAAGAGGGAGAGGAATGGGATGGCGGAGAGCACAGAGAAAGGTTCAACTGTATTCATACATTCTACTTCCTAAAAAGTCTGAAGCAAATATGACAAAATGTGAATAACACTTAAATATGTGGTAGGTACAAAGATGTTCCTTATACTGTACTCCATATTTTCTGTATGTTTGAAATAGTTCAAAGATTAAAATGCAACTACTATGTCTGATGTATGTAGAATGAAATGGAAGAGAGCACAACAGGAAGATGTGGGCAGCATATGCAGAAATCCTGGCTAGAGAACATGGGTGATGTTCCTTTTGCTTTAGCAAAAGAACGAAAGTGGATGAGTGTGAGATTGTATTTCAAAGGAATGCTTTATAGGACTTATTGAAGCAGCTGAGTAAGTGGCACCTTTACAGACACACTGCGTTAGCAGAAGTCAGCTTTGACTCTTCTTCTGCTAAACTCCTCAAATCCAGCTGGGGAAAACTAGGGAAGAAGCAGTTGGGGGCACAAAAATCCTGGGAGAGCCTGCTTCATCTCTGACCCCCAGGTCCTACAGTAACTAAGCTGAGCCAATGCTGCACATGCTGCCTAATTATTGTGCTTTGAAGACCAGACAGCCTCTTTAAAAGATACAGCTTTCAAAGGAATTTGTTATCAATTCATATTCCAATAACCAAAAACATTTTTTATTTATTTACTTAGTGTGACACTGGGGTTGAACTTAGGGCCTTGCTCTTGCTAGGCAGGTGCTTTATCACTAGAGCCATGACCTCATCTCTTTTGTGCTTTAGTTACTTTTCATTCTTGCCCGGGTCTGGACTCCTGTGCAGCAGACACTGCCATGCCCAGCTTATTGATTTAGCCACTTTTAATAAGTTCCCACAAAGTTTTTCCCATGCAGCTTACTCAAGATTTTTAGGTCCTATACCAATTTTTGCTTCTACTTTCCTCCTAAGCCATATTAATGAGTTTTATATGATGTTACCAGTTAGGTATATTATGAAGTGTACAGTATTATAAGGTATACCATTGTAAAAGGGATGCAACTTATGATAGGGTTATTATTACATAGCATCTTCTTACAAACTATTACTTATATATTGCTTTATAGTTTACAGAGCTCCTTATCTCACTTAACTTATACAACTTCAATAAATAAGTAGGTAGGACACTGTGGTATCTAGTGACAGAGTTGAAATTTATACCTAAAGCATCAGACTCCAAACCTAGAAACTGAGACATGGGCTGGTGGAATGGTCAAATGGTAGAGTGCCTGCTTAGCAAGCTTGAGGTCCTGAGTTCAAACCCCAGTACCATAAAAAAAAAAAGAAAAGAAAGAAAGAAACTGAGATGTAAATAAGTCAAAGACACAAAGTCAATAATTACGGGGAGGGGAGTAAGAAAAGATAATGAAGAAGGTGAATATGATCCAAGTACATTATAGGCATGTATGGAAATATCACAGTGATACTCTCCAATACATGGTATAAGAATAAATAAAATAAGGCTAATAACCACAAGTTAATTTTGCTGTCTTTAAGATTGCATTCTGAGCTTGTAAACATTCTGAAAACATAAAATAACAGAAATCTCAAAATTTATCCAAAAAGATACATACTAATTATTCTTTTGCAATCAGAACCATATGACACAGAAGAGTTTTCTATTAATGCTACGTAACCAGACGGTGGGAATAAAAAAGCATGCACATTTTCACAACATCATCTTAGTAAGTCTGTTTTCCCTAAGAGAAAAAGGTTACCAGGTTTCTTTAGAATAAAATTAACTGTGTCTAAAATGTAAAACTGAGTATATTATGATGGCACAAATTTCAATTACTATTTTTATGTGGTTCAAAACCAAAATACATACATCAAGCACTGCATTTTGGAAACTACCATTTTTAGTGAGCCATGATAATTGATTAAGCAGTACATCTTTGGTCAGTTTTTAAAGTTATAGTGAATGCTATGATTTCAACCAACTTCAGAGCAGTTTGTGCTTCCCTCTCTGTTTATTCCATTGACTTTAGGAGATTTCAGGAATGTGGGAGGATATGCTAAAAACTAGTTCAGAAAAAAAAGAAACTAATTCAACAAAGATAAGGTATTCAAAGCCATAAGTATAAATAATCCATGCAAATAAATCCAGAATTTAACTGGGTTCCCCCAACAATAATTTGGAAATTGGTTTTGCTTATTTGTTTGTTTGTTTGAGTACCAAAGGCAACATCCAAAAGGTCTCTAAGGAAAATTTTTAAAATGTTAAAATAAAGCCACCTTAAAAAAATGTATTTTAGCAATGCCTGTAATATTACCAATTTATGTAAGTTTGAATCAATTTTACTTGCCAGTATTTTAGGGGATTCATCTAAGTGGAAACAGAATTGGGTTTGAAGCCACAAGGAATATACTTAATCCCTTAAATTCAACTTTGATTTTTAATTGGATTTTATTTGGTGAACAAGAGAAACCAGTAAGAAGACTGCAATGGGAAGTGACATACGAAAAAATGCTTCAATAGTGTAACTTTGGCAGTAATGCCTCAAAAAGATAGTAAGACAGAAGTTAGAAAAGGAAGGGTATTATAACAGAAGTAAGAGATAGGTAGGTGAGAGCTTGATAATGTTCAAATTCCTGGTGTTCAGCCCCAGAGACTCTCAGTCAGTAGATTTAGAGCAAGTTCTCAGAATTCAAAATGAAAAACTAAGTGGAAATATCAAAGGGAAAATATACTTCAGTAGAATATCAAAAACTCATAAAAGTCACAAGCTGATGTTTCACTTTTACCATAAATAAACATTGTCTTACCTGGATCAGGGTCACACTTCAGATCCAATGTATGTAGAACAGGGTGGTATTGCTTCTATATATAATGTAAATTAAAACAGATTTAATTTCATCACTTAATCTCATAAACACTTCATTCAGCTAGTGTAAGCAAATATAAGAGGTAGTCAACAGTACCATGTTTTAGGAAAACTTGTTCTTTAGATCCTGAAATCTGCAGGGAAGGGAAGTAGTTAAGAAGGTAAGATCAGGAAGTCTGAATTATACCTTTTATAGTTCTGCCACCTACTGTATACACTAAGAAATAGCACCATAGAATTATAATCAGAAAACTCAATTTAGCACATTAAAGGCATAGTGATGGAATTTTGTGTTTAAAATACAGGGTAGCCTCCAAATTATGAATGAACTGTGTTTCAAAAGTTCACTTAGAACAAGTATTAGGAACTCAAATTTGTATTTCTACAGAAATGCTATTCTAAAAAGTGGCTAGGCTACCATGTCAGCCTGCTAAAGTCTATACTTCCTGCAATACACAGAAATTACATTAGAACTACTGCCAGAGTCTGAAATTTAGGCAAAAATAAAGAGGAAATGTTCTTTCCTATTTACTCTTACCCAATGCCAACAGGAGCCAAAAGAGTTAAAAAAAAAAAAAAGAAGGAAAAGCTCTTTAGTATGCTCATTCCATCCATCTTGCCTCATTTTGTAAATCTGCAAAGTGATACACCTTGGCCTGGTATACTGATTACTAGTTTTAGGGTTTTAGGGGGAGGGAGGAGTCAGGGAGGTAAAGAGGGAGACAATAAAAACTAACCATTCTTTGATTTTTTTCCCTAAAATTTCTTTTAAATGGTGGGGAAGAGAGCATTTACTTGGGACTAAATACTATTAAAAAGATAAAACATTGTGTTAACTAATTCTTTTTCATAGAATGATGACTAAAATGTTTTAGATATAGTATAAAGCCTGTCCTTTAGTGCCCTAATACAATTTCTGAAAGGGAGGCCACTGGAAGATTTGTATGTGAAAGTATGCTAAAGGCAAATTCTTCTATAAGCTGTATAGAAGTATAGCATCTTCTAAAAGCTGTACACAGTTCTCACTCTAGAGGCAATGCCATTCTCAGCAAACCTCCTCCAAACTCAGGGAAGATTTAGATCTAATTTGCTGTGGCCTTGTTTATTTTGTATTTATTCCAGTCCCAGTAATCTAACAAGATAGGAGTGTGATATGGTTGTTCACTGATATCTATAGTAATTTCAAGAAGCAAGCCTTTGGCTCTGCTTGTCTAAAAAGCTCAGCTTGAAGGAGTTAACTCCCTGGTTATAACCAAGATGGCTATGATTTTTAAAGCATAACAAATTATATGCAACACATAAAGTAAATTTCATTATTATGAACAGGTATTCAAACAAGTTTTTCCATCAGTTTAACTAACAGGCCTGTCAAAATACAAAAACATATACAAAAACTGTGCCAAACACAAATGGAAAATAGAAAGAAAAGAGTACAAAGATAAATTTCCATTCTCTGTCTGGTCTCAGAATCATAAAGTCATCATCAGCCTTCCATCTCCAATTTCAATTTTAGTATCAGCTGTGTTCAACAAATAGTGTGACTTAGATTAGGAAAGTCTTATAAGAGACAAATGATACTAATTAAGGCAGGAAAAGACAAAGATAACAAAATGTCATCTATCTGTATATGTTTCTTATACTTTTTTTTTATTGTGGCAAAATACACATAAAAATTTAAAAGTAGATCATCTTACCATAGCTTCATGTTGTGCTTTTAAAGTTTTGATGACACATTCAAGGATCTTTCTGGGGTACTGCTTACGTTTTGTTGCCAAATCTACTATGATTTCATCAAACTGATCTTCAAGCACTTTGATATCAGAATCTATTTCAGAAAAAAAAAATCTGAAAAATTCCTTAAAACTCATTGTTCATATTAGTATAGAAATGTTATATAAAAACAAAAATTTAGAAATGAAAAATAATTAAAGAAAACAAATATAGCAAGTTAATGGATGTCTCACTTTGGTCATTAGTTCACTTATTCATTGAACAATCAATTATTTAGCACCTATGGAAGTCAGGCCTAAATCACAGAAATACAAAAATGAGCATAACATTATTCCAAGAAACATAATTGCACCTTGATAAGTCAATAGAGATATGAATACAATGTTATCAGGACAGAGAACAATGAATCACTATGCCTGGGGAATCTAAGACTTAAAAAAAAAAAGGCAACAATTGAGCTTGAAATGTTAAGTGTAAACCCACTGGATAAAAAAATGGTAGAGAAGGGCTAGCAGAGTGGCTCAAGTGGTAGAGCTCCTGCATACTAAGCAGAAGGTCTTGAGTTCAAAACCCAGTAATACCAAATAAAAAAGTAGTGAAAAAAATAATAGGCAGAAAGCATCTTTGACAGAGGTAGTATTTATAAGATCACAAAGTCTTTGCAAAACAGGAAAGATCTGATGGAAGTCTTTGGAAAACAGGAAAAGGAAATGGCTATACAATAAACTAAAGAAAGGAATAAAACAATTTATAAGAATTAGAATGCAGGGCTGGGGTGTAGCTGAGTGGTAGAACAGATGATGCCCTGTGTTTAATTCCCAGCACAAAAAAGAAAAGAAAAAGAAAAAAATGAAATTGTAAGAGATATTTAATAAAAGGGATGCTATTAAGTTTTCACTTTATACTGTGCCACACCAAAGCTGTGACAGTAGCAGTGAGTGGAATGGCTAGATCTGAAATAAGACTCAACGGGGTAGATGGCAGGGGAAAAATGGAAGATATGGTGACTTTAGAGTTTTGTTTTTTTTTTTAATTTAGTTAAAACTATTTTATCAGATGTGTTTGTATGTTTTAAGGTAGCAACTCTCAAACTTTAGCAGAAGTGAATAACCACATGGGGAGTAAGGCGGGAGTGCATAAATTTTGACTCAGCAGTTCCAGGATGAGGCCCACAAAAAGCTGGATGAAATGAATGCAGGTGGAACCATTCAACCTTATTTTGAAAATCATTTTAAAGAATAAAAACACTAAGGAGTTACAAATAATAAAGAATGAACTACTCAGCTAACATGTGTTCTGCTGTGTCAGAGACCATGCTAGAAATGGATTCATTTATTTTACTGAACAGAACCTTTATGAGTATGTATATATATAAACATTTTGAAAACCTGCTTTTACATATATATGTCTCATCATATACACACATAAAGTTATTTCTTTGGTGGGTATTAAGAGGGAGACAGACATTTCTTAGATAGATTTTTTTCAAGTAAGTGGCTCTAAATTTTACACACACACATACACATATTGGTGGTAGTGAGATGTCAACTAAGGGCCCCATGTTTGCCAGGCAGGCATTCAACCACTTGAGTCATGCTCCCAGCCCTTTCTGCATTAGTTGTTTTTGGGCCAGGCCCAGACTGGACACTGATCCTCCTACATAGCTCAAATCACAGGCATGTGCCACCATGCCTAGCTATTGGTTGAGATGGAGTCTCATTAACTTTTTGCTGCTGTTGGTCTTGAATCAAACCTCCTAATCTCCACCTCCCAAATAGCAGGGATTATAGACATGAGCCACTGTGCATGACTAAGTTCTAAGTTTTAACATATCCATTAAAAAAGTGAAATCACTGGCTTAAAATAATGTACTATTTCACAACCAGATTTAAAAAAAGAGAAAGGCTCCCAGTTAAATCTTCTATGTAGGGAGGAAAATGGTTTCTTAGTGCCACCTAAGGATAAAAAGCTGCAAAACTGAAATGTGTATACAAATGTGAGCAGGGAAGTTATTCATTAATTTAACAAATACTTAATGGGTGTCTATTATGTGTCAAGCTAAGGGGTGAGAATACAGTGAGGAGAAAAATGGATATAGTCCCTGCTCTCAAGGAACTTTCATTTGAAATCTTAAAATGTGTTTTTATCAAACCTCCCATAGTCAAATTCTTTCAGGGTAGTAACAATGGGAGGGAAGCGGTTGATTTGACTTGGATATTCATTCTTTCAGTTGTTTATTACTTCATTCATTTACACAATGACCTCATGTGCCAGGCACTTGGAAATCTTGGTAAACAAAACAGGCAGAAACCTCTACCCTTGTAAAGCTTACTTATTGCTTCCATGTATTTCATCAGAAACAAATCCTATTAAATCCATCCCTCACACAGCCAGCAGCTAGCTAAAACACAAACCATTTCACATAATTCTACTTTAAATTTCATTGAAGGCTGGGGTATACCTCAGTGGTAGATTGCTGCCTGGCATGCATGAAGGTCTAGGTTCAATTGCCAGCACCTCAAAAACAAAAAAAACCCTGATTCCCAATGCCTACATGATGAAGTACAAATTTCATCCTTCAAGGCTCCTGTGAGCTAGTCTTAACTTTTTCTTTCTAGACACATTTGCTACTAGTTTTCCAAAATATCACTTCTGAGGTTTTCCAGACATATCACTCCTTTGTGTATTTGCATGTGCTGTTTTATTTCAAATGTCCTTTCTACCTCTTTTCTTTCTAGGAGACTTTCATTTATTAAATGCATTTTACTCAAGAACAACTTACTCTGTTAGGTCTTTTCCCACTTTCCAGGCAGTATAGTGATTCCTGTCCATTTCCTTCTATGAAAGACTAGTTCTTAAGTGTTAAGGGCCATGTCTTTCCATCTATTCCCCAGCACTTGACAGAGGGCCTGGCATTTAATAGGTACCCATGGAGGAAGGTAAAAATAGTATAGTATTCTTAATTACCTCTACTCACAGTCATAAGGGGGAAAAGGGACAAAGGACAACCAATCTTTCTCCAGGCTACTAAACTATTGGAAAATATATTCATTAACCTGTAAACTGATGAACAAGACTCAGATGAAGATATAATAATAAAAGAAAAAAAGCAAATTGAAAAAAATGATATAGTGAAAAGCTATGTAGTTTGAAAGTACTCCTAGCTAATTCTGATATATTCCCTCTCCTCTACTAACTGATAATTATTTTGTTAATATTTGAGGGAAATGATGCTACTGTTTTATTCTTTCAATACATACCAGAGAGCACAATATGTAAACCACAAAGTTAATTTTGGTGACTACAAAGAGACAAATATCATAATCCCAAAGAGTGGACAGTAAAGTCGTCTGGGAAAATATTATCTTATTGCTGAGAAGAAAAATTATAACCACAGAGGGATGGCTAGTAGACTTAGAGTCAGTCAGAATATAAAGCAGTGACATCAAGCTATGCTGGTCAGATATGAGCAACATCACCACAGCGTCAAGAGACACTCTGGACCTCTTGTTAAGGTAGCCCTCTTCTGGACACTGCTACACAGGAAGGAAAATTCTGTCTTTCTTCTCACACTGATCATTCCCTCTCTACTAAATATTTTCCTTTTAAGCTGACCACTCTCTTTCTATTGATGTTTTGATTTCTTTAGATATGTCAACATCATTATTTAGGGTATAATCGACAATGCTTTACACCAAAAAAATATTGTCTTTTTTTAAATACATGACCTCATCCTCTACAAAGTACTCACATGGTGTAAATTTACTTTTTCTAAGGATCACTTGCAAAAATATAACTTGCCTAAGGAATTACAGGAATTCTCTGGGCCTATTTGTTCATCAGGGGATAATTCTATGTAATTTTCCAATAAACTACTAACAAAGGTAACTCTGAAGATTAATTAGATGGAAGTCCTGTTTAAAATGCCAGATAGCATTTTTTTCCCCCCCTGTGGTGCTGGGGTTTGAACTCAGGCCTTCACGACTGCTTGGCAGGTCCTCTACCACTTACACAATTGCTAGGCAGGTGCTCTACCACCAGCCCTTTCTTGTGTTGGGTATTTCTGAGATAAAGTCTCCTGAACTATTTGCCTGGGCTGGCCTTCAACTGCAGTCCTCCTAATCCCCGACTCTTGAGAAGCTAGGATCACAGGCATGAGCCACTGGCACTGGGCCCAGATAGCATGTTTAATGGATCAAGGCACCTATTGTTTCACTCAGATTATAACTCTGAGAGTCTGTATTAGTTTCCAACTTTACTTCCCTAATATTTTTTTAAAAAACGAAGTGACACTGAAAGTGGGAATTAAAACACAGCATTCAAAATAAGATTAGCTGCAAGAAATAACTCAGAAATTAATGACAGAAGGAAAAAGTCACATACCCATAAAACAATTATCTGAAGCTTCCTGCCATGCTTGCCCATTAATGCTGACATTCTCTTGTACAGCTGATTCAAAAGTCTGCAATAAATTCACAATATTAAGTCACTAAAAATGATTTTAAAAACTGAATTCAAACATTTTGGCAAAATAATAATGTGTTAGTCACTTTCACCACTATGACAAAACACCTGAGGAAACAACTTAAGAGAGGAAGGATTTATTTTGACTCACAGTTTCAGACCATGGTTGGTTGGTTCTATTGCGTTTAGGCTATGGCAAGGCAAAAACATCATGGAAGAGGGCATGGTGAAGGAAAGCTGTTCACTTTGTGGCAGTCAGAAACCAAAGTGGAATAACAGAAGAGGCCAGGACAAAGATGTATCCTTCAAAGGCACATCCCCACTGACCCACTTCCTCCAACCAGGCCTATCTTCCATAGTTCTACCACCTCCCAAAAGTTTATTCAAATTTGTAATCCACGAGTGGGTTAAACCATTAATTAGTTGAGGGCCCTCATGGTATAACTGTCTAGAACCCCGAAGTGTTTACTAATCTGCTAGGCATCTCAATCCAATCAAGTTGACAATCAAGACTAACCACTCAAGACAATTTCAGAATTGTGACAGAGGATATAAAGAAAAGCAGAACAGCCTATTTATTATTTTCGATGAATATTCCATTTTAATAATTAATTCCACCTACATCTTAGTTCTGATAGCCATTACACTACCCATGAGAAATTTGTTGCACAAGTTTAGAATCCTATAAACAAAAAACTCACTTTTTAAATAAAAGAAAAAGCTAACAGTACTGGGCTCAGTTGAATCTCAAGGATACAAGTGGTAAACACACTGCTGTATTAGTATCAATGTTAACAAGACGTGATTAAAATAAAGTAAAATTACTAGCTGGGCATCTTGGCTCCTGTCTATAATCCCAGCAATATGGAGGCTAGAGTCATAGGATCATGAATTCAAGGCCAGCCTGGGTTATATAACATAAACCCTGTCTCAAAAAAAAAGTAAAATTAACTTCTATTTTATAAAGGACTATATTCTTTAGAGATGTTCCCTGAAGTCATATAGGGATGCAATGACCCAAGAACTGAGACTTGCTTTAAAACAGAACAAGTGTTAACACCTTTTGGTAACTGTTGCATTTGGTAATGAACTTATAGGTAATCTGCTCTACTAATGTACTTTTTGTAAAATTGAAAATCTTCACATTACAAAATAAAGAACTAAAGAAATTTGGAACAATGTATGCACATATGAATAAAGAAAAAAAATTAATTTGGCAGTAACATTACATTTAAAATGCACAGTCCCTATTACCCAATGATTTCATTTGCAGCAATATATTCCAAAAGATACCTAAAAACTTAACACAGTTTGGAATAACATAAAAGATGGATTCTTCATGGAATGGGATGTTCATTTTTACAGTATGAAATAATGAAAAAAAAATCCAAATCCAAAATTAGAACACTTAAATGTCCATACCATGCAGTACTTAAAAAAGAATGTACAACACTCTACATAACATTGATAGTTAAAGACATACTTGCAGTTTTAAAATAGCAAGTCAATAGCAATTCAGTAGCATGACACTTAATATAAAGAAACATAAAATAGAGTAAGGTTAAGCCATATAAATGGTATAGAAGGTTTACTCTCCAAAATAGGATGTTATCTCCAGGAATCTTGTAGAAGAGGGACAGGGAAGAGAAATTAAAAGAAAATTTTGCTTTAGGGTACTGTTTTTTTTTTTTTAATGAACATGCATTCTATACCATTTGTATAATTAAAAATAAGTATTAACCAAATGACTGATAATTATCAGTTAAAGTAAATAGTCTACACTTTAAAGATTTTATAAAGTAAACCCTTACTTTATGTATGGACTTCCAAGGATTATCTGAGAATCCAAATGGTCAAAATAGTCATTGTACAGTAGAATATATGCTACTTTATTAAGCTTCAGCCTTTTTTCTATTCTCATATAAAAGTAAATTCTCTTGGTAGTCAAAGTCAACAAAGCTTTACTTCTAAGTCACTTTAAGATCTCATTAAATCTTAAATAACAGGTTAAGCTAGATTCTTCTTTTTCTGTAAGGTTACCAAATGTTTTAATATCTTAGCATTTCCTAGAATCAAATTATCATTATTGCAGTCTTATCCCAAAAAACTACAATAAATGTCCTGACATATGTCTCTGCTCTTGCCTTGCTTGCAAGAAAGAAAACACGTTAAGAACCATGGTATACAAACCTAGATACAGAATACAATCCAAGGAGCTTTTCTTCATTCTTCTTCTATTGAACCTCTATACTTATTCTTTGCACTATGGTCCTTCACATTTACACATGTGCATTACAAGCTTTGAAACTTTGTCCCTACATATCAATTGTGTGTTTTCTTATAACAGGCATGAATCCCTCCATTTCTTGCATCTTTCCCAAAAAAAGTATCAGCTTCAGGGCTTTGCAAAATATCTGAGAAAGGAAATGTGATATAACGGCCAATCTGTGACATTAATGAAGTTTATAACCAAGACAGTTTGTTCACTTATTTTAGATTCGTAAGTTAAGTGTTTTCACTCTAGTCACAAGATGTTCTAAAACAAGCAAAAGAAAAGACCAAAAGTTGGTCAGGTGACTGACTTCCAGGATTCCCTTTCCTGTTAAATTCCTCAGCCCATAGGCCTGAGCCACTCAGTAGGGGAGCCACTAACCACTATAGTTACTGAGCACTTAAATCTATGGCCTTGGGCTGGCGGAGCATGAGGCGCTGAGTTCAAATCCCAGTACTACAAAAAAGAAAGAAAAAAGGAAAGAAAAGGAGAGAGAGAGAGAGAGAGAAGGGAAGAAAGAGAAAGAAAGAAAAGAAAAAAGAAAGAAAACTATGGCTCAGCCAGGACACCTGGTGGCTCACGCCTGTAATGCTAGTTGCTGGGGAGGCTGAGACCGGGAGGACTGCGGTTCCACCTCAGGCAAATAGTTGGTGAGATCCCATCTCCAAATAACTAGAGCAAAATGGACTGGAGATGTGGCTCAATTGGTAGAGCGCCGGCTTTGCAAGCGGGAAGCCCTAAGTTCACACTCCAGTCTCAACAACAACAAAAAAAAACAAAAACCTACGGCTGATCGGAAACGAGATGTGCTGTAAACACACCACACTGTGACACCAGATTTGGAAGCCGAGTGCGAAAACCAAAATGTAGACCACCTTGTTCATTTGTGTATTATTACTGTTTATGTTTAAATGACATCTTGTATGCACTGGGTTAAAGAAAATTTTGTTAAATTAATTCCTCCTGTTTCTTCTCACTTTTAAACTTACACACGTGGCCCGCTCTGTGTTTCTTTTATACCGCATTGCCCACAAGTGACCAGGTGACACTGGCATCTACTTCGTCTCCCCTCGCGTTTCTCACGTTGTTTTTATGACCCAACGAGGGCTGGCGTAAAGTCTTTCTGAGCCCTGAGCCCGGCATTTGGGATAAAGAAAACAGGCGGCTAACTCGGTCCGTACCCACTGCACATCCCGCAGCGCGAGGTCCCGAATCTCCTCCGGCAGCGCGTCCCCGAGCTTCTGCACAAAGCGGCCGCACAGCTCTACCATTTCCGTCACGGCCCGCTTCGAGGTGCAGCGCACTCGGAAGTCCTCTCGGGGAGTGGCGGAGACCGAGGCCTGGCTGGCTGTCCCGGCCACAGCCTCTTCGTCCTGCTGAGAGGAAAACACCACCGGCTCAGAAAACCCCGCCATTTTCCCAGCTAAAACAGTGGGCGGAGACTCCAAGAGCGGAAGGGCGGGTTCTAACTGTGCAACGAGCCCGCGTCCGGCCGGAAACTCACGCGGCCGCAGCTGCAGCGTTCCGGCTCTGTTTCCGGCTCTGTCTCCGGCTCTGTCTCCGGCTCCTACTCAGCGGTGTTTAAAGAGGCCGCATGCAGCTGCGGCAGTGGCCAGGCGGGCGATGGGCTTGGGGCTAGTGGACTGTCACTGCCATCTCTCCGCCCCGGACTTTGACAGCGTATGTGAAGGCGAGGCGGAACTTGGGGAAGTGGGGAGGCCCCTGTCCTTTCCCCCAGATTATCTCTTCTTAGAATGAAACCCCAAATCTTCCTCAGGCCGTGGGCTATGGCCGTTTTGTGACCTGTATATTTGATGACAGAGGCTTTCCTTTTAGCCACATTTTACTGAAAGAGTAAACAAGAAGTGGGTCAGTAGAGACTCTTCACTTTCTACCCTCTGTACCTTGCTAACATTCATTATTTATGATGCCTCAATTCACTGATACACAGAGCCAAAGAGCCATTGCTTATTCACCTAAAATAATTGTGACCACTTATACTTTTTTAAGGATCTGCATGATGTGTTGGAGAAAGCCAAGAAGGTAAGTTAATATCTAGAATTCCCCGCCCCCCCCTTTTTTTTACTGTACTAGAGTTTGAACTCAGCACCTCCTGCTTATTAGGCAGGTGCTCTACTACCAGAGCCACACCCCAACCCTTGGGATTTGTCTCCTGCTAGTTTCAGGCTGTTTCAGCTTGATATACTATGTTTTGTTTTGTTTTTTTAGATGTACTATGTGGATATTGTTCCAGTAGTTAGTAATAAGTAGCACTTACTAAGTGTTTACTATCTAACAGTCACTAAGCTAAGCCTTTTCTGAACTTTATCTCATTTAACATTTCACAACTTTCTGAGGAAGTTACTATTTTATAGCCAACCATTCCCCATTTGATAGATGAGAAAACTAAGGCCTAAAGATTAGTAACTAGTCCAAAGAAGGATGCTTGTGAGGTGCTAGAGGAGACAGGTTAGTCTGAATTAAAAACATGTTTCTGAAACCACCATGCTTATTAGCACTGTAGAATGGATTGGTTTATCTGTTATTTCTTAAATTCACATTATTCTGGAGATCTGGGATATATTTATTATAAAAATCTTCTGAAATATTTTTATTTGTTAGAAAAATGATCAATTTTTGTTCTTTTTAAGAAATTAATTGCAACTAGCATTTTTTTTTTTTTTGCTCTTTTCAGAAAGCAATAGAACCAGAAAGGGTTACCAGTCCATTTTTACATAAAGCCAGCTTTCATTGTGGCAGCCTAATTAGGCACATGGACTTTGGAATCACATAGGCCTGATGACCTTGGGCAAGTTACTGGGTTTCATCCAAAATATCTCGTGATCTGTACAGTGGATTATAACAATACCTATCTTATAAATTTCTGTAGATTAAATGAGGCAATATTTACATTCACTGAACATAGGTCCTGAAACATAGTATTCTGTGATAGCCATTTTGATTGTATTACTGGAACCCTGGTAAACAAGAATAATACAATGTATAGAATCTTTTAAATTTTCATTTAATTTATATTAAATGTATATATTATTTGGGATTCTCTTTTTTTTTTTTTCAGGCCAACATTATGGCCCTTGTAGCAGTTGCTGAACATGCAGGAGAATTTGAAAAGATTATAGAACTTTCAGAAAGGTGCTACTTCTTATTAACATTTTTGTTATGTTTTGTTTTGTCTTATTGTGCCCAAGTTGGTCTTGAATTCATGGACTCAAGTAATCTTCCTGCCTTACTCTTTCAAATGTTTGAACTAAGGTGCAAAGTAATAAATCTGATGTCAGATTTATAATAACTAGTATCTATTTTGAAATAGAATAAGGAAGAAAAATCATATTATTAACATAGCCTTAAAAGAGATTCTTTTCTGCTTGTCCTTTAAAGTGACATTGTAGTCTCCTAGTCTACTAGTCTTGCTTTCTTTAATTTGTTCTACATTTTAGGTATAGTGGATTCATTCTTCCATGTTTGGGTGTTCACCCAGTTCAAGGACTTTCACCAGAAGACCAAAGAAGTGTCACGTTAAAGGTAACAGTTGTATAAAGCAAGAACCATAAAACATGATAATAACTTGAATCCAATAACCCTGCTCTTTCTAATTTATAGTCTAAGTATATAATCCAAAAGAAAGAAATACTGCCTTCTTTCATAAAAATGTGTCTCGCAACATTATTTGTAATAGAGAAAAATGGAAACAGCCTAGAGGATCAGAAATAAAGGAATCATTAGCTAGCTAGCAGAGTGTTAAAGTATAATGCATTTATAGGAAATGAAGATTCTATATTATTTCCATATAGCATATGAGAAATGTTTAGTAGGGAGAAAAGCAGTGTACCAAATAGTTTATTGACTATTAGTGACATACATGTAAAAATACATTCTAGAAGGAAAAGACTGATGAGAAAAACACAGGAATGGTAATAATTAAGATGACGTGGTAGAATCATGGATCACTTTTTCCATAGTTTTTTGTCCTCAGTCATATTGTTTGGGCAAAAATATGATAGGATGTCCAGAAAAAGATAGATGCAGATTCATAGGTGCCATACAGTAAAGGAACAGATAAATTCAGGTAAGTAGTACCTTCTTTGAACTTGGAAGCATTTGCAGAAGTGCTTTTTGACCTATTAAATTGCATTGATTTTATACTCTAAAAGCATCCTACCCTCGGGCTCACTGACTCACAGAACTCAGTATGTCTTACATTTCATACTTGTCTCTGACTCAGCATCATGAGGATACACAATTTCTTGAGTGCTTTATTACATAATTGAGTTTATAGTCCCATTTTAAAAGAGTAATTACTTTTTGCTACTTATTAATAAAGTATGACATGGGGCTATTGTTTTATAATAATATATTTCTATTGCTATGTTAAGATAGGGTAGCTCTGTGTATTTCAAAACAAAATTACTTTTAATTTCACTTCAGGTAAAAATGCTTATCCAGTACCTCCTAAGTTATTGACTATGATACAATTAGCCAAATTGCCAGAGAGTCACAGTTCCAAAAGTGTTGGGAATCATAGCAGGACAGCACTGTGTGGTCTGCAGCACCTCTACTATTTATCTAGAGGATGTTTATAACCATAGACATTCATTTAGTTAGTTGATCAGTGTTTACTGAACATCTGCTACATGCTAGGAACTGCTCTCAGCGCTAGAGACCTGACAGTGAGTGGGATCCCTCTCATGGAAGCTAAATTTTATATGGGGCAGACAAGCAACAATTACATTAGCAGAGAAACTTTAGATAGCACTAAGTGCTTTGAAGAAAATAAAATCAGATTATGTGATAGGATTTGTGGGTACTGATTTTTAATTGTGTCATCAGGGAAGGCCTTCTGAGGTGCTGACTTTGAGGTGCAACCTGAATGCTAGAAAGGAATAGCCAGTGTAGAGAGAGTGTCAAAGTGTTCTAGGCAAAGGAAACCTTAAAACACAAAGGTCCTAAAGTAGTAACAAGCTTGTTGCAATCAAGAAGTAGAAGGGTGATATGGCTAGAAGGAAGGGGGAAATGACAGTGATGGGGTCAGAGCAATTGGACAAACAGCTCATCAGGCCTTGTTGAATTTTAGTTTATGTGCAATAGAGGATTTAGAGTAAGGAATGACAAGATGTGGCTTATGTTTTAAAAGATCTTACTGGCTATGGTATGAAGAATAAATTTTGAAGATGGCAAAGGAAAAAGGAAAAATATTAAAAAGGCTATTGCAGTAGTCCATATGAGAAACTAATGGATTGGACCCGAGGTTAGTAGTGTAGTAAAAAGAAGTGGGTGCATTTGTCATGAATGTAGAACTGATAAAACTGTCAAACTCATAAAAGTCATTAGTAGACCAATAATATATAGGCAATCATTGATTCTCAAAGCAGATATGAACCCCAGTCCCACCAAAAAAAAAAATCAAAGCAGATATAAACTAATCAGATTTCAGGATAACTCTCTAGAATAGACCAGCGATAAGGAATGTTAACTCCATTTTATTCCAGTTACACATGTAGTTCATATCAGTTTAGTTTTCCTGTACTTAATAAATTATAAACTCCTTTAAAGCAGGAACTACACCTTGTTGTATCTTTAGAGCCCTCCAAAATATGTGGTACAGAACTAGATATATAATAAGCATTCATTAAATTAACTTGGTTCATAGAATGAATGGCCTACATCATACAGACCTTTCAGCATATTCCTGAATTCATTCATTTATGCAATGAATATTATTGGCAGGTACAGTTTAGGCAGTAGGCTTTCTATTGTCACTGGCTACTGTCTGCTGCCCCATGCAGGTACAGCATGTGCTCTCCAGTTGTCTACCTCACTTCACATATTTCTGTTAAATATCTGACCTTTGATCAGACATTTAAAAGGTATACAGGATAAAAAGGTGGTAATTTAAAATAATTCAGAATAGATCTCCTTCCCTTCTGTCTTCCCTCCCTTTTTTTTTTTTTTGCCCTCTCTCCTTTCTTTCAGCATCATGGTAGAAGCAACATGGGCTTTGAAGTTAGAGAGACCTGGCCTACCGGCTTCTATGACCTATAGCACTTACTTAACTGTGTCAAGTCTCAATTTCCCCATTTGTAAGTCATGAATAATTATATAAGTAGTATTACCCCCAAGCATAGGGTATGGGTTAAAGGTTCTTTTTAAAAAATCCATAACAGAGCCACAACCATGAAATCTCTTCCTATTCCTCTATCATCTGTCTTATCTCCCCTTCTCTTAATTCTCTTATTCTGATTATCCTCAGTAGACTACTTTGCAGTTTACATATCCTAAAAATAAATTCCACAAAGTAGTTTAAAAATTAGCTATAATTTAAATTTTTGTAATTTTATAATTTCAAATTAAATTTTGTAATTTATAATTTTAAAATTAAAAAATTTTCCATATATTTGTTTCTCCCCTGTCTTAGAAGGAAGCTTCACAGGGCAAATTCTCTTAAATGAAAAAAAGGTAGTATCACTAAAATCAATGGTACACAACTACTGTGGCAATTAACAGAAAGCTTATATGTGATATTTATTGTTTATATTATTGAACTTTTAGGACAAGTGGACTAAGAAAGACTATAAAGACAAAAGAAGTCAATAAAAAGAGAACAAAGGAAGTATGAAGTTATCTGTGTTATAAATTTATCAATCAGTAGTACTCTAAGAGTAGGACATAACACAATGCAATCCCAAAAGCTCATGTGTAGCGATGACCACCTGGTGGCTCACTTTTCTCTCAGCTATTTCAGGAACTCTAAATCAGCCCTCCTAGCTGTCAGGGGATGCCTCCTATTCAGAAGGCAATGTATAAGTGGAAATCTTCACAAAAAGTCATATTTTTGTAACGTGGATAAGTCTGAAATATGTTTCTACTCAGATTTACAGGTAGAGCTACTCACAGTTATAGGAAGATTATTCCTAGTTCATTGTCTGGTTAAATGATTACATGTATGTAAAGCACAAGCTTAGCCTAGGGCCTGGCACCTAATTGATGCTCATGAAATATTATTTCCCTTCTCTTTCCATATTACAAGTTTCTTTTTTTTCTCTCCCAGGATTTGGATGTAGCTTTGCCTATTATCGAGAAGTATAAGGATCAGTTGTTGGCAGTTGGAGAGGTAAAGACCCCTTAGATGATCAAGCAACTTCTAATCTAGATCCCCATTTGGTATATGAAAATAATTCTTAGTTCCATTTTGGTTACTCTAACTGACCTGGATAATTATGTTCAGCTGACTAAATTTTCTTGATACTTCCTCAATAAGCAAGAGCACTTGGGAATGAAACAGTAGAAACCCTTACCGTAAGCCTAGGAGAAAACTATGTCAATAGTATTTCTAAATAGTTTGCTTAAATATGGGTCATTTCTCTGGTGAGTTAAAATTGTATATATAACCCTTCATAAGCAATTTCAAAGCAACTTTGAATAGCATTTACAAATTAAGGAACATTTTTATTTAAATGATTTGTAATAGTAAAGTATTTTATCACCTAGTTTAAAATGTCATTTCTTATGAAGGATAAAAGATAAGAATAACACTTAAATTCAGAACCTAGATTAAAGAATGTATGCCAAAATTGTGTCAAATGAAGCAGTTATTTTATTGTGCTAGCCAGTATAGTAACTACATTTGTGTCAAATGAAGCAGTTATTTTATCGTGCTATCCAGTGTAGTAACTACATGTAGCTGTGAACACTTGACACATGACTGCTCCAAATTGAGATGTGCTGTGAGAGTGCACAACATAGTGGGTTTCAAAGCTTTAGTTCCCCCCCCAAAAAATATAACTCAATTTTTACATTGATGGCATGTTAAAATAATATTTTGCTTCTATTAGATAAAATAAAGTATATTATTAAAATTAACTTTAACTTTTTTGGTTGATATTTTTAATGTAGCTAGTATAAAATGTAAAGTTATATATGTGGCTCACATTTGTGACTCATGTTATATTTCTCTCCTTGGGGGTTCATTAAACCATAAATATGTAATTCTCCTTATTTTTTTGTTCTAGGTTGGGCTAGATTTCTCCCCCAGATTTTCTGGCACTAATGAACAGAAGGAAGAGCAAAGACAAGTCCTAATCAGACAGATCCAATTAGCCAAAAGACTAAATTTGCCTTTGTAGGTTAATTTATTATCTCTGTGTTCTAAAAGCTATAGAACAAATTATGTAATGATCAAAGAGTCCTTCTGCAGTGGAGTTCTCTACCTTGCTTTCTCTACAGAATATAAAAATAATGCTTTCAAAAGTAATATTTTCAAAATACTTTAGGTTTAAGTAGTACTTTCAAAATTTAAAAGGAATTTTGTTGTCAAACAGAAATGTTCACTCACGCTCAGCTGGAAGACCTACCATCAGCCTCTTGCATGAACAAGGTATTTAGGTTCCTAAGAAAAATGTGCCTAATGTTCAAGTTTCACAATTCCAGTTCAGAATCAAACTGTGTTTAATTTTAATGAGGCAAGAGTGGAGGTGGAAATCAACTAAGGTGACTTTGTAAGTCAGGTTATTGTTTGCAAGGTTTTTAGTACCATTATGTATTTATCAGGCCAGGATATAGTAAATGATATCTTGTATCAAGTGATTTAAATTCCTTAATTTAAAAGTTAGTAGACCCAAGTTCTAAATTACCTTGATTAATGAGAAAGAAATTAGGGAAAGGAGGGCAGTCACACAGCAGTCACATTAGGTCACTGTTGTGCATGTTTTTTGGCTGTTGCTCCAGAAAATGGGATTGTACAGATTGTGGCCATCATACATAGTACAATGTCATCTTCACTGATTGTTCCTAAAGTGAATGTATATCTCATAGCATTCTTTTTCAAGCTTTTCAAAATATTATCCACAGTAAGAAATATACTTTGAGACTCATTCAGACACACATAAAAAAACTGACAGAAGGTTAACAAGAATACACTGCACACATTGATTGGTTGTGACTTACTAAAATGATTTCATAATTCACTTAGGGTTATAACCCATTAGTAGTCACACCTTCCATTTGAAACAGCACTGTCACATAATGATATAATTGCCAGCAACTACAGATCACTGTATTTCTCACTGATGAACACTGAACTGTTCTGGAGTCACTGAAAGCATGATTTTTATGCAGAGTGAGCAACTATCCTTTAAGAACTGGAGTGGGCAGGCTAAAACCCTGGAGGCTTATGTGCATATCACTAGCTTCTTCCTTTTTATTGTTGAGTAGTAGTCTGTGGGATGGTTGTACCACAGTATGGCTTAACATTTTACCTATCAAAAAACATCTGGGCTGCTCCAGTTTTTGACTATTACAAATGAAGCTGCTGTGGACATTTTTGTATAAAGAAAGAAAGAAAGAAAAAAAACTTGAGTTGGTTTTGTGAAACCAACTCTGACTTTAATTTGTGAGTCATTTAGCTTTTAGCTTTCTTTCTTCTACTAGCATTTTTGTGAGGAAAATCAGCTTTACTGCCTAAAAGCCTCCTGTTAGGAACAATAATTTGACAGCTCATAGACAGACTTATAGAAATGGTACAGGAAGTTTAAATAATTATTTTTTTAAAATATATTTCTATTTTGGGGCTGAGGGTATGGTTTAGGTAGTATAGCACCTGCCTAGCAAATGCAAGTCCCTGAGTTCATACCCTGTACTACTAAAAAATATTTACTTTAACTTTATTTAATAATTTTATTCTGAAGACTAATAATTCATTTTTATTTACTCTGAACATACCCACCCATTAGAAGTCATAGAACGCATCTTTATTTCATAATGACAGACACTTAAAATTTCAGTTCTCTGTTGTTCAGTTTGATCAAAGGGAAAACCTCTTGTTAAGGAAATGAAATGGAACTGTGATTTATCTTTTACTTGGGGAGGTGCTGACAAGGTACTGCTGCATGCATTTGACGGTCGGCCGTCTGTAGCCATGGAAGGAGTACGAGCTGGGTTCTACTTCTCAATTCCGCCTTCTATCATAAGAAGTGGGCAGGTAAATTCTCTCATTAAAACTTGCCTAACACTTGTAAAATAGAATTCAAAATACAAACATTGGTGACATATTTGTGATATTATTCTAGTTAATCTTAGGTCTTTACCTCACACATACATAGGTATTAACTCAAAAATAGATCAAAGACCTAAATATGAGAGCTAAAATTTAAAAACTCTCAGGAGAAAAAAAAAAAACAAGTCTAAATTTTCTAACCTTGGATTAGACAGTGGTTTCCTGGATATGACACCAAAAGCACAAGCAACCAAAGAGAAAAATAGATAAATTTGGCATTATTAAAACTTAAAACTTCCACAATAAAAGAAAACAAGACTTTTATACTTCAAAGTGCACTATCAATAAAGTGAAAAGGCAACTCACAGAAAGAAAAAAAATTTAATCTTGTATTCAATAAGGGTTTAGTATCCAAAACATGTAAAACACCATTACAACTCAACAATCAAAGACAAATAACCTGATTTTAAAATGGACAAAGGATTTAAGTAGCTATTTCTCTAAAGAAAACATACAATGACCTTTAAGTGCATGAAAAGACGTTCAATATCACCTTCATTATGGAAATGCAAATCCAAGGCACAGTCAGATATGACGTCGTACCCACTCAGTTTGGCAGTTCCTCAAAAATTTAAATATACAATTACCATGTGACCCAGCAATTCTACCACTAGGAAGATGCCCAAAAGAAAGGAAAACATGTCCACACAAAAACTTGCACATGAATGTTTATAACATAGCATCGTTCATAATAGCCAAAAATTAGAAACAACCTAAATGTCCATCAGCTGATGAATGTATAAACAAAATGTACTTATACAATGGAATATTAGTCATTCATGATTGAACTGCTCAATCATGCCACTACATGGATGAACCTTGAAAGCAGCCAGAAGCAAAAGAGCACGTATGATTCCACTTACATGAAATAACGCAGACTAGGCAAATGGAGACAGTGATTGCGGGGAAGAAAAAATGGGAAGTGCCTGCTAATGGGAATGTGGTATTTTGGGGGTGATGATAGTGTTCCAGGATTAGATAGTGGTGATGGTGGTACAAATTATTAATACAGTAAATTGGACACACACACATATATATACATACATATATTGAATACATTTGTGGTATTAGGGATTGAACTTGGAGCCTCACATATGCTAGGCAAGTGGCTCTGACTGAGCTGTGGCTTAGTCACAATTGTATATTTTTAATGGGTGACTATTATGGCATGTGAATTGTAGCTCAAAAATTTATGAACTAATCTCAGGTAATTTATCATATTTCATCAGTTCTAAAACACTAGTTTTTTTCACTTTATTATCTGCAAAATTAGGATGTATGTTAATTTAATAGCCCCTTACATTCTGTGAAATACAGTAATTGTCATTATTTTAAAAAACTAATGTAGGTAGAGTGAAGGATTGAAGTATAATCAAGATTTTTTTTTGAGCTATGCTCCCAAGCCTTTGCTTTTATTTTGCCTCACCACTGCCTGTGCTGGTGCTTCCTGCCAACTTTTAATCCTCCTGCCTCTGCCTCCCAAGTAGCTGAGATTACAGACATATACCACCACGCCCAGCCATAACCAAGATTTCTTAAATAGCTTTATCAGCAATCACTTTTTTGTTGTTTGAATTGTAGTTTTTAAAATCAGGTCTGTTGAGGAATATACCTGTAGTGATTCACTTCTTTTAGGTATATAATCCTGTGAATTTAGGCAAATGTATACTGTCATGTAACTATCACCCCATTGAATATCAGAATATTTCCATCATCCTGAAAAGCTGCCTCATGTACCTTTCTAATCAATACTTGCCTCTACGCCATCTCTGGTAACCACTGATCTGATTTCTGCTCCTGTAGTGCTGCCTTTCTAGATGTTAAATAAGTGCAATCATTTATAAATGTGTTATGATCTGGTTTGTTTTACTTAATACTTTTGGACTTTATGGATATTTCATGTACAGTGGTCCATTTCATTTTGATTGCTGAGTAGTACACACATGCATGTACCATAGTTTATCCATTTACCAGTTGATGGACATTTGGGTTGTTTCCAGTTTTGAATAGAGCTGCCTTAGGCATTTATAAATAAATCTTTGGGCATATGTTTGCATCTCTCATGTTAATACCTAGGAGTGGTATTACTGAGCTATAAGGTAAGTGTGTATTTACTTTTGTAGGAAGCTGTCAAACTGGTATTTTTTGTTGTCCCTGCAGTGCTAGGGATCAAAGGCAGGATCCTGTGCTTGTTAGGCAAGTGCTCTGCCACTGAGCTACATCCCAGACCTGTCAAACTGATGTCCACATTGGCTGTACCAGTGGAATTCCCACCAGCAATGAGTCAAAGTGTTGGTTCTGTGTCTTTGCTAGTATGTAGGAGTTGGGTTTTTTTTTTAATTATTCTGCTATACATGGGTAGACATTGCTCATCTCATTTTCATTTTCTGAATGAGTGATGGTATTAAACATATTTTTACATGCTCATTTACCATTCACACACCACATCTCTTCTTTAGTAGGGTTTCATTCAAATATTTTCCCCCTTTTTAATTTTTTTGTTGGTACTGGGACTTAAATTCAGGGCCTGTGCTTGCTTAGTGGGTGCCCTATTACTAATTTGCCCCTTTTAAATTAGGTTTTCTTATTGTTGAGTTGGCAGTGCTCTCTGTATATTCTGGATATAAGTCCTTTATCATCTCTGTATTTCACATATATCTTCTCCTAGTCTGTCATTTTTCTTTACGATGACTTTCAAAAAGCTAAAGTTCTTAATTTTGATGAACTTCAGTTTATCACTTTTCTTTCAAGGTTTGTGCTTTTGGTGTCATATCTAAGAATATCTAAGAATCTTATCTAGCCAAGATCACAAAGATTTTTCTCCTATATTTTGTTACAGATGTAGTTTTACATTTACGTTTGTGATTCATTGCTACATAATATAAAACTTGAGTTACAATTAATTTCTTGCCTATATCAGACCCAGTACAATTTGTTGAAAAGCTTATCCATTCTCCCTGTAATTGCTTTTCTACTTTTAATAACAAAATTAATTGGCCCTATGTGTGGGTCTGTTTTGGGCTTTTTCATTCTGTTGCCCAATCTGCAGTTTCTCTCCTTACACCAATACCTCACAATTCTGATTATATTGGATTACATTTATTTATAGTAACTTTGGAATCAGGTGATAAGAACCCTCCCATTAGTTCTTTACTTCCAAAATCACTTTGCCTATCCTAAGCACTTTGTTTTTCCATATGACTATTAGAATCAACTTGATGATTACTACAAAAAAAAAAAAAAAAGCTTGCTGGGATTTTTATTAGGATTGTGTTGAATCTGTAAATCAGTTTGAGAATAATTGATATAAACATAGTATATCTAATTTACTCAGATCTTTGATTTCACTCACCGGTGTTTCATCATTTTCAACTTATAAATCTTACACATATCTGATTAGATTTGTCCCTGACTACTCTGTATTTATCATCCTATTGTAATGGTACTATTTTTTAAATTTCAGTGAATTATATATATATATTATATATATTCATTGCAATTATGTAGAGCTGCATCTGATCTTTATATATTAAGCTTGTTCCAAGTGCCCTTGCTGAATTCTCTTAACGCTAGGATTTTGCAGATTCCTCAGGATTTCTTATGTACACAAGCGTGATCTATGGACAGACTGTTTTGCTTTTCCTTTCCAATATGTATGCCCTTTATTTCTTTTCCTTGTCTTGTTGTACAGTGGTGAGTAGAAGTGGTAAAAGCTAACATTCTTGCTTTTCCTCATCTTAGTGAAGAGTAGTCATTATTTTAACATTATGCCTAATATTAACTAGGCTTTTCATAGATGTCTCTATCAGGCTAAGGAAATTCTTCTATTTTCTAGTTTGCTTAGAGTTTTGTTTTATCAGAAATGGTTGTTAGATGGCTAAGCACTGGTGGCTCACACCTGTAATCTTACCTACTTAGGAGGCAGCGATCAGGAATATAGTGGTTTGGGGCTCAGGATGTAGCTCAGAGGTAGAGTTCTTGCCTAGTATGTATGAGTCCCCGGGTTCAATCCCCAGCACTGAAAAAACAATGGTGAAAGAATATGGTGGTTTGAAGGCAGCCCTGGGCAAATAGTTCAGGAGACCCTATCTCGAAAATATCTAATACACACACACACACACACACACACACACAAAGGGCTGGCAGAGTGGCTCAGGTGGTAGAGCACCTGCCTAGCAAGCATGAAGCCCTAAGTTCAAATCCCAGTACTGCCAAAAAAAGAAAAGAAAAGAAAGGCAGGACAAGGCAAGGCAAAAGAAAATAAGTTCAAACCCAATACTGCAAAAAAAAAAAAAAAGAATGTGTATTCTGCTATTATTGAATGGTGTATTTTATAAATATTAATTAAGTCAAGTTAATTGATAGTCCAAGATTTCATTTTATTTTTGCCACAATTTTCATTTCATTTCTGGATAAATTTCTTAGTTGTGATACTATTTCTTTCCCAAAACAGAAGTGTTATTTTTTCTAATTATCTAATTAAAGATAATACTTACACATTGTAGAAAATTAAAACATTTCAGAACAGAAATGCATCATCTATCTCTTTCCCATTTTTTAAGTGCAATGTCAGCAAAAGAATTGTGTTCTTGGGATTAGTATATAGCTTGGTAGCAGAGTGCTTGCCTAGCAAGGCCCTGGGTTCCATCCCCAGCACAAAAAGAAAAAAAAAAAAAGACTGGAGGTATGGCTCAAGCATAGAGCACCTGCTTTGTAAGCATGAAGTCCTGAATTAAAACCCTACTACCAAAAAGAAAATTATGTTCTTGGCAAGAAACTTAAATTCATTGCAACCTTTAAAAATCCATATATAAACCAGGTACAATGACTCCCACCTGTAATCCCAGCTACTCAGGAGGCAGAAATTGGGAGGACTGTGGTCAAGACCAGCCTGAGTAAAAAAAGTTTGTGAGAACCCATCTCAACTAATAAGCTGGGTGTGGTGAGGCACGCTTGTTATCACACCTATGCGGGAAGCGTAAATAGGAGGACTGAGGTCCAGGCCTGCCCAGACATAAACACGAGACCTTGTTTGAAAAGTAGTTAAAGCAAAAAGGGCAGGGGGCATGGCTTAAACAGTAGAGTACCTGCCTAGCAAGCATGAGGCCCTGAGTTCAAACTCCAGTACAGCCCAAAAAAATCTATATATAGAAAAAAACAAGCAAGAAAATAAAAGCAACCACCACCCCATCCAGAATTTAGGTGTGTACAGGAACTTTAGAGTCACAAACATAAGGCCTTAAGTAACTTGAAGATAATGATAGGAAGAAGCAGAGTGTGGGACAGTGGAGACATGACAGAAGTCTCTTCCTTGGATCTTTCAGTGGACATGTGATGTAAGATATCTGCCTGCCCTACTTTTGCTTTGGTCACTACTCTTTGGTTCCCTGAAAGCTTTGGGGTAATGTTTGGCAATGAGTGTGTGTGTATATATAGTGGGGGATACTGGGATTTGAACTCAGGGCTTTGTGCTTGCTAGGCAGGTGCTCTACCACTTCAACCACATCTCTAGCCTTTTTTGCTTTTGTTATTTTGGGGATAGTGTCTCACATATAAGCCCAGATTGGCCTAGACCTCAAGCCTCCTATTTATGCTTCTAGGATGACAGACACACACTACCATGTACAGCTTTTGTTGGTTGAGATAGGGTTTGGCTCAAACTCATCCTGTCGACTCACCCAAATAGCTAGGCTAGGCTGGCCTGGCACTGGCATGGAGTGTTTTATTTTTGACATAGATGTATTAATAGGAAATGGATAGGCTCAGGGTAGTCTTTACCAATTGAATATTAAAAGTGTATTTTTAGGTTCTTACAGAATAAGATGTATTAGCATATACATTTAATGTTCCTATTTTATTGCTTACATTTTAAGCTTACCTGCTTTCTTTTCTCTAAGAAGCAGAAACTTGTGAAACAATTACCTTTGACTTCTATCTGCTTAGAAACAGATTCACCTGCACTAGGACCAATAAAACAGGTAAATGATTTTCTAATTTCTACATTATTTAGATTGTGTCTTTCATTTGAGCTATTTTCAGTTTAGCTGCATTTCTCACTGTAGTGCAAATAAAACAGAATCCTAATGCTAGGTTGAGGGTTTCTATTAACTCTGAGTTCTTTTCTAAATATACTGTTGTGCTTCAGAGAATATCATTTGATAGGGAGCATGTCCTAACTTATTTAATAAGGCAAGTGTGATAAAAAAGCACAGTGTCTGGAATCAAAAAGACTTAGATTCAAATTTTGTCTGTAACCCATTACCTGACTTTGGGCAAGCTACTTAACCTCCCTGAAACTGTTTTTTCACTTATTAAATGTGGGCAAAATAATTAAATACTTTAATGATTATGGTATGAGGTAACATGTGTGAAGGTGCCTAGTGGTAGTTGGTCTGTAGTAGGTGAATGATAACGGTTCATTTAAGTTAGCATATTATAGTGAGAGTCTATTTCTTTCAGGACAAGTGTTGATGTATTATCACAGGTTTATTTATGTGATCTTTGATGTACTATAATATTTTGTTATTGTAGAGTGTAAAGAATCATATTTTAAATTTCATACTCTTTCATTTTGCTACTGCTTTAAATTACAATTTTCTAAGGGAACCCACAGTATCTGCTTTATTTGCTTTAGACAGTGCCTGCCACAATTACCTCTTGCTGTGCAATTCAGTAAGGCCTGTGACTGCCCATTAGATATTTGTCTCATGCCTGCAAATTCAGAGAACTGCCACTGGAAACTCAGAGGTTTAGAAGCAGTAGAGATTATTATGGGATTAGTAACAAACAATGATTATTTGTGATTGAAATTTGAATTTTGCTAATGTCCAATTAGTTAAACATTTTTATAAATCAGCTTCTATAAGAATGTAAAAGACAAAGAAATGAGAAAATAGAAGAATATAATTCCAGTTTTTTTCTGTTTGGTTATATCGGACAGAGTGGCATAGAATTGCCTTCTTGATTAATGTAAAATGGAAGGAAAAGGTCCTAGAATTTTTTTTCCTAAACAGGAATAAATTTTTAATGCTATTGTAACTCAGTTTAATATTAGTATTTAGTTGATTTGACAAAACCGCGAGTTTATGGCATATTACTAACCTTGTGCAAAATAAATCTCAATAAATATTTATTCAGTAAATGAGTTTTTGCTGGGTGTAGTTGTACACACTTGTAATCTCAGCACTCAGGAGGCAGAGGCAAGATGATCTTGAGTTTAAGGCCAGCCTGGGCTACATAGCAAGACCCTATCTCAAAAAAAAAGGGGGCAGAGGCAGGAGGATCATGAGTTCAAGGGCACTCTAGGCAAAGTTAGGGAGACTCTATCTCAAAAGCAAAATATAAATAAAAGGACTTGCAATGTGGCTCAAGTGGTAGAGCATTTACTTCACATATTCAAGGCTCTGGGCTCAATCCCCAGTACCACAAAAAGGAAAAAAAAAGGTTTTAGCCAGATATGCTTCTTGTTAAATGTTTGTTTTAGATAGTTAGAAAACACTGAAAATCTTAAACAAGACAGTGAACCAAAAGATCACCACTATAGTACAGTGGCTACGAGCATAAGCTCTGACATCTGACTGCTTGGGCTTACTCTCAGCTGACTTCTCACCAGCTATTAGGGCTCCTCCTTACCTGTGAGTAGGAAAGCTGACTAGTGCCTCTCAGAGTTATCTTGAGGATTAAATGAACTACTTAGAACAAAGCCTCACCTACAAAAAAAAAAAACCTAAATAAATGCAAGTGTTTATGTACTTGCAGACTATTTTATATCCGTACATGTATATACACATATATCTCATAAAAATAGGATTACCTGAATATATTATTCATAACTTGCTTTTATATGGTGAACTTCTCTGTGTATTGATAAATTCACTTTTCCTCATCATTTTTAATGTTACATATTTCCAGTACTAAAATTTGATATTGGTCATTTAGATTGCATTATAAACTATGTGATGAAGGGTCTTCAGTATAAATCTTTGTGCACATCTTTCACTGTTAGGCTACATTACCAGGTTTTTCTAACGTTAATAGTAATTTTATTCCTCCCAATATTATCACTCTGGGTGAATACTGATTAATAATAATAGTAATAATTTATTTCACTGAATCTAAATGCTACTGATTGTAGATACACCATTATTTTATGATCATTAAGAAAGAAAAAATACTACCAGTTATACTAACACAAGCCCCCAAGTGTGAGTACAATATTTACAGTTTTGGGGATGTTGAAATGGATGTGAGCCTGATGTGGTGATATACACCTGTAATCCCAGCACTCAGGAGGCTGAGGCTGGAGGTTTGCAAGTTTAAGGCCAGCCTGGGCTACACAGTGAGACCCTGTCTCAAAAATAACAACAACAAAAAAAAGTGGAGGGGGAGGAGGGAAATTCATCTTAGAATCAGTGAAATACCAGTATGCAATCTATCTAGTCTTTACGAACCTCATAGCATCTTTTGAATCAAAATTCCATAAAGCCTGTGAGGCAAGGGGCCAAGCAACAGCATGTGACTTTTACAAGCACTCACAAACCAAAGGACATTTAACACATCAGGCAAGTTGGCCTCCAAGACTTCGCTATTTGCAGACTGCTTCACATGCTAGGAGCTTGGGATTTCAATAGTTTATAATCCCAGGTTCTTTTCAGGAGCAACACAGACTTAGACTCAGTATTGCAGCTATACCTTCTCCCTAGTCTCAAACCCCAACCCTCATTTGAAATTAAGAAAGAAAAGGAAAGGGACTCATCAGTCATTTACTCATTTTTTTCTTTTTATCTACAGCCTCCAAAGGTCTGCTTTCTTGAGTGTCATTCCAATTTCAGTCTTCTTTGTTCTGTTTCAGACACGGAATGAGCCCTGCAACATTTCCATTTCAGCAGAATATATTGCCCAAGTGAAAGGAGTCTCAGTGGAAGAAGTTATGGAAGTGACAACACAGAATGCACTGAAACTGTTCCCTAAGCTTCGACAGCTGCTTCAGACATAGCATCAAAACCACCCATTGCAAGCCAGGCACCAGTGGCTCATGCCTGTAATCCTAGCTACTCAGGAGGCAGAGATCAGAGGACTGAGGTTCAAAGTCAGCCCTGGCAAATAGAACCTGAGACTCTATCTCGAAAAAAACCAAAAAGGGTTGTTGGGGTGGCCCTGAGTTCAAACCCCAGTATCAAAATAAATAAATAAATAAATAAAAATAAAAACAACCATTACAAAACCAAGTCAACTGTAGGGGCAGCATTTGAGAAAATGAAATGTTTGGGTTAAGATTCTGAATTGAAGAAACCTATAGCGATATGGGTTATAGTTTTACAGAATTGTTTCCTCCTAAAAACAAAACTGGGCTTAGATCCTGAAACCTGAGATTCTGATTCTAACCTATGCTGCTTTTCAGTTAGCTTTGTCATGGCAGGATATTGGAAAAACATTTCTTGCTACTTCTTACCCTGCCCACTAAATAGAGCCACTGTTCACATAGAAGCAATTGTGCCTGGAAGGGGGCTTTCAGTGCCAACATGGGAGCAGGCTGAAGTCTGATCCTTCACCACTTGTTTTACTTTCTTAGGATTCATCAGTCAAGGGAGTTTCAGTTTCTTATACTATCAAAAAATCTCTTTTCTGAGTTTGTAAAGTTGAACTTTGAGAACTTTGAGGCTGATGTTTTGTACAGTCACTAATAAATAACAGGGCTAAAGCTTAAAAGTTTAGTTAATAAACTGATCTTTAACTTCCAATTTAAATTTTGTCACAAACTTAAAATGTAAATGATTTATTTAAAGCATATCCAGCTTTTTGTATGCAATAATATTTTGTTTTTACATTTAAAAAATCTTAGGTGTAAAAACAGTTTTGCAGATAGATGGTGGTGATGGTCACACAACCACATGAATGTACTTAAAGCTATTGAACTGTGCATATAAAAATAGTTAAGATGGTGGATTTTATTTATTCATTGTGATTTTATTACTTTATTTGATAATCAGCAGTTATTTCTCATCCACATTGATTGCAGACTTTTGAAAGTGGTAACAGGGACATAGGTTACCAAGCACAGAGGTCATGTGGTGAATCTTCATCCTCATTACTTTTTCTAGACAACCACATGTGGATAGGATAGGACATTCCTTATTCCTTTGGCCAGACAGCTTGGTTGAGCCTGGTGCACCATCTGAAGTCTCTCATCTCCTTCAGAGAAAATTTTTGGATCTCTTTGAGTACCTGCGGGGCATGCTTCTTGAAGCCTTCTCTGTGGATGCACTTGTGAATATTGGTGGTGTATCCTTACTGATGGGGAAAGGCCCTTCTCAGCACCCATCTTTGTGGGAGCCATTCTCCTGGGCCTATGTTGGAAAGGACAAGATGGTGAATCTTATGTGTATTTTAGATAATTAAAAAAAATCTTGTGTGTAGTTTACCACATACTGTCATCTATACCAAAACCTGAGTATTTGATTTTGTTAAATTTTGTAAGCAGCAACACTGGAAAAAGGACTTGTCATAGAAAAAAATCCTCCTAAATATCAAAGTGATTTTACATAATAGATCTTCAGTAGATATTTTCTAATGAATTCATTTATAGAGAAATAGAAAGTAGTTTCAGGACACATTGTCCGAGCCAAAGCAAACTAGCTAAGAAAGAGAATAGGATGCTTTATGAGTATGTTAGTCAGCTGTTGCTGTAACAAATTACATGAGACATTAACTTTTAGAGAGAAGGTTTAATTTGCCTCACCATTTCAGAGAATTTGGCCATGATTAGTTGATTCCATTGCTTTTGGGTCTGTGGTGAGGCAAAACATCATGGTGAGGAGGGTGTGGTTCAGCAAAGTAACTCACCTCAGAGCTGAGATGCAAAAGCGAGAAAGAGACTGGGGTCCCCAATACTCTCCCAAGAGTACACCCTAGTGACCTAAAAACTCTCACTGAACCCCACTTGTAAAGTTCCTAGCACCTCTCTGTAGCATCATGTTCTGAAGAACTAGTCTCCAATACATGGACTTTTCAGGGAACCTTTAGGGCCCATCAGCATCATTACAGACAAAACTCCTACACTTAATAAGAGGTTATATTAACTAGATTTGGAGTGAGTTAGGGTACAAATGTTAGGGTACCTTTGAGGCTTGCAGCCCACTCAGCCTGAAAACGGCCATGGCTAACATGACCCAAGCCACCACTTACTGGAACTAAGGGAGATGGGACAGTTTCTGGGAACAGGGACTGTTTCTGGTTAATCTTGCTAAAACGGTATGTGAGTCAATGAGTTAAGACACCTGGTGTTTACCAAATTCCTGATAAATAATCTTCAAGTAATCTGGCCCCACCACCAAGATGTGGGTGATATCAGAAATATGTGACCCCAGGGACCATAAAAATTGCTGTGTGACCGTGACTAATGTCTAAAAAATATAAAAGCAGCCTGAACTTTGTATTCGGGGTCCGTGTTGAAACCCACTGCGTCGGGCAGATACCCGGACCCCAGCTGGCTGGAAATAAACCTCGCTTTGTGGCTTAAGTTATCGTGAGTGTCTTTTGTTCCTCTGAGGGGTGATCAACCTCAGACCCCAACATCTGGAGGTCCCACCGAGATCTCAGCCCCTCCCTGAGAGGAACAAATGGCCTCCGATACTGAGGTTTAATTGGGAAAGACTGCGGAAGGAGGATTGTCCACCTCCGTTTGGAGGGACTTAAAGTCCCCGTCTGAATTTGGTTGAGAATTCTCATTGAGTGGAAGGAAGGGGTTACAGCCCTGGAGGCTCCACTATTGGAAGTTGTGGGAGATGTCCCCAACAGTCAGGAACCGTGCTGACATCCTCAGTGGACGCCATTGGTGGTCTTTGGGTAAGGATCCTAAATCTGGTGTGAATGGAATTGCGCCTGTGAGAGTAGTCTGGCTGACCGGCCAGTACTTATGTATGTTGGAGAGTCCTGTGCGAATTTGTTTGTCTGCTGGAATTGTGTCTTTTGTTCTTTGCTGTCTCCTCTGTCCCTCTCTCCTGATCATCATGGGACAGGCTCAGGTAACTCCTAAGATCCTTCTTCTGAGTCATTTTTCAGAAATCCGCGCTAAGGGACACAATTATGGCGTGAAAATTAAGAAAGGTAAGTTTGACACCCTTTGCTTAGTGGAATGGCCAACCTTTAATGTAGGCTGGCCTCCTCAAGGTACCTTCTCCTTGGACACGATTAAGAAGGTCCAAGATGTCATTAATAGACCCGGTCTTCATGGCCACCCTGATCAATATCCCTATGTCCTTATGTGGCAGACTTTAGTAGAAGACCCCCATTCCTGGCTGCGGCCATTTATCCATGGAGCACCTACAGACCAGCCCGCAATACTGGCCATGTCGGGGAACACTCCCACTCCCATTAATTCCCCTAAGAAGTCTATTCTGCAGGAAGACCCAACTCTCCATCCATCCTTGATAGACTTAGATTGTGAAGTAAATCCCCCGCCATATGCCGCTGCCACGCCACTCCAGCCAGAGGCAGATGGCTCCTCTGAGCCTCTGCACTTGTCAGCCTCCCTGTCTGCACCCCCTGCCCCGGTCTCCGGACCAGTGAGGGGACTCAGGCCCCGTAGGCAGCAAGAAGAAACCCCAGTGGAGGAGCCCTCCTCCACTTCCACCCCCCATCCTCCTGGTGCTGGGTGGTGCTGGTCCCGATGGGGGACGCACCTATCAGTATTGGCCTTTTTCAAGTAGTGACCTGTACAACTGGAAAGCCCAGAATCCTCCTTTTTCTGAGGACCCTAGAGGCCTGACTGATCTGTTCGAGTCCATTTTGCATACTCACAGTCCCACATGGGATGACTATCAGCAGCTCCTTAAGACTCTATTCACCACCGAGGAACAGGAGCGGATTCTCACTGAAGCCAGAAAGAATGTCCCCGGCGACAATGGGTGACCGACTACCATACCAAACCTGATTGATGATCGTTTTCCTTTAAACAGACCCGACTGGGACTATGGGACCGCAGAAGGTAGGGAGCATCTCCGGGTTTACTGCCAGACTCTTATGGCAGGCCTCCGGGCGGCAGCCTGCCACCCTACCAATTTGGCTAAGGTAAAGGCAATAATGCAGGGGGAAAATGAAAGCCCGGCTGCATTCCTTGAGCGTCTTTATGATGCATACAGACAGTATACCCCCCTAGACCCACTAGCGGAGGTGAATCAGTCAGCTGTGATAATGTCCTTCATAAATCAGGCTGCCCCTGATATTAGGAAGAAACTATATAAGCAGGAAGGGCTTGGGGAGATGACTACCCAGGATCTGATGAAAGTAGCTGAAAGGGTTTTTAACACCCGAGAAACCCTGGAAGAACGAGAGGATAGAATCAGGAAGGAGAATCAGGAACTACAAGAAAGGATTCGGAAGGAGGACAGGGAACACCAGAGTAAGGAAAACAAGAAACAGTAAAAAGAGATGGCTAAGATATTGCTAGCAGGAGTCCAGGGTCTGGCAGGACCAAGTTCCAGACGGACTGGCCCCACACGTCCCTGAAGAGATTGACCCAGGCTAGACCAGAGACAATGTGCCTATTGTAAGGAATATGGACACTGGAAGAAGGAATGTCCCAAACTCCAGGGTTGCCCGGGATCAAATAGCAGGCCCAATAATGACGCCCGAGTCCTGTTAGCCAGAATGGACAGTGACTAGAGGGCACAGGACTCGGACCCCCTCCCCGAGTCTTGGGTAACCATATATGTGGAGGGGAAGCCTGTGAGATGCATGGTGGACACAGGGGCCAATATTCAGTCCTTAATAACCTACTGAGCCACTGTCCAGAAATTAGCCTTGTGCAGGGAGCCACTGGATCCAAGGCATATCAATGGACTAGCAAACGTCAGGTGGATTTGGGCAATCAGGTGACCCATTCCTTTCTGGTCATTCCTGAGTGCCCTGCCCCTTCTGGATGCGACTGCTAACTAGGTGAGGGCTCACATTCTTTGAGCTGGATGGTATCAAGTGACAGATGGACAAGGACAGCCCCTCAAGTCTATGTTCTCGAGGATGAACATCGCTTGTTCTCCTTGTGGGACCTCCCCCAAAACCTATTGAGTGGTCCTGAAATGGCTTATTGGATTCAAA